TGTGTAGCACACAGCTGAGCAGAGTGGGAAACTAAATATTTAATGACAGATTGGCTGAGGATCCTAACTGGAGGAAGATGTGGAGGACCAGAGAATGCCTGCTTCTTAAGCAGAGTCTGCACAGCCATCCCTAACCCAGGGACAGCCACGGCAGGTCCTAAGGGACTTGGCTTCGGAACTTGCTGGGGTAGCCCCAGCTAACATGGACCCTCCCAGAGCACCCCAGCCCCCCATCTTTTTTCATTCTGCCTCTTAGGTTGTTAAATAGGTACCCCACTCAACAACCATTCACTGAGGCCCCCACTCATGGTGTGCTGATGCCATAGACTCAGAGCTGAAGAAGCCCAGTACTTGATTTGCAGGGCCTGTAATCTAGTAGACCTTGAGGAAAGGTCTTCACTTAACCTTCTGTAAAATGGGAACAATAAATAGTTGTAACCCCCACCTTGGGGTTGTTGTAGGATTAGGGGAAGGATTCAGACACAATTGTGCATGCCTGTAATCCTAGCACTTGAGAGGCTGAGGCAGGAGGATTGCTGTGACCTCAAGGCCAACCCATAACTGCATAGTGAGACCCTGTCTCATAGAGGAAATGGTTATGTCATACATCTGGGATAGGACCTTGACTGCAATTGGAAGATTCAACAAGATGAAAAGGTGTGAACTGGGACTACTAGGAATAGAAATGCCATCCCAATAAAGAAATGGAGAAGTGAAAGTTGGGCTGGAGAGGGAGGATTGTGCATACCTAAGAGACTGGGCTTTGCTGGGCATGGTAGCACAGGCCTATAATCCCAGCACTTAAAAGGCTGAGGCAAGAGGATCACCATGAGTTTGAGGCCAGCCTAGATTATATGGTAAATTCCAGGACAGCCTGGACTACATCATTTGACCCTGTGTCAAAGAAGCAATGGGGGTGGGGCTGGGATTTATTCTTCAGACAATTGAAAGGATTTAAGCAGGGGAGAAACAAGATCCAGATTTAGCCTCAGAAAAGGTCCTTTTGGGGTCAGTGGAAAATGAAAGGAGGCGGAGAGAAGGATTAGCAGAGCTAGGAAGTTGGTGCCCTGGCTGATGGGTTGGGACTGTGGCTGTGCATGTGTCATCACTTAGTCACCTCCTTGACGTTCACCTGCAAGTCAGTGATTCAAAGAGTCCAGTCCCAGGAAGATGTCTGCCCCTTATCAACAGTGGTTAGAGGCACCTTTGGCCAGCAGAGGCACCCAAGGGACTAGGGTTAGGGTTAGACCTTGGGGCGCAGAGGGATCGGCAGGCAGAGAGGCTGCGGTGCTTCCGTTCCTTTCTAGCCCAGAGGCCCCAGTCTCCCCTTTGTGCATTTGTGTCTTTGTGGTTGTCTGCAGGCTGAGGCAGCAGAAAAAGCACGCTGAAGTGAGCCACAGCTAAATCCAAATCCTGGTTCTACTACAAACGGGCTGTTTGACTTTGCTCAAAAAGCTCATCCTCCGAGTCAGTTTTAAGACAAATGTTCAAACTGGCAGGTTTTCCCCCTGTTGTTATTGGATATTCAACTTATGGCCTTTACACTAGGTCACATTTCTTTTTTTTTTTTTTTAATTTTTTTAAAGCCAGTCAAATTTAGCAGTGGGGGGGGGTGGTATACCAACTTTAGTGACACTAATGTTAATAAGTTCTGATAACCCACTGCCATTGGACCAGCCACTAGGTCACATTTCCATGCCACCTCTTTTTACCAATTTTTTTTTTTGGTCTTTTTTTTGTCTTTTTTGAGATGGGCTCTCGCTATGCAGTTCAGGCTGGCCTTGAGCTCACTTTGTAGCCCAGGCTGTTCTTGAAATCGAAACGATCCTCCCACTTCAGCCTCCCGAGTGCTGGGATTACAGGTATGAGGCACCACACCTGGCTTCTTCTTTTTTTTTTTCTAACTGGTACAGAGGATTGAACTCACAGCTGCCTGCTTGCAAGGCAGGCACTTATGCCACTGAGCTAAATCCCCAGCCCCCTTTTTTAGTCTTTTTGAGACAATGCAGTTCAGGTTGGCGTTTAACTCACTTTGTAGCCCAGGCTGGCCTCAAATTCACAGCGATCCTCCTACCTCAGCCTCCCAAGTGCTGCGATCAAAAGTATGTGCCACTGTGTTCAGCCAAACTGGCTGTATCTTTACATGCTGGTCTGAAAACTCACAGAGAAAGGCCAGCAGGGCGACCCTACACACTAACATTGATGTTGCCCAGAGCGGCATGAGGAAGGTATGTGTGGAAAGGAAATTTTACATTTTATCTGGTTTATTTCTGCATTATTTGAGCCTTTTATAAACATGTGGGGGGTACTGGGAATCGAACCAAGGGCTTTGTGCATGGTAGGCAAGTGTATTATTACTGAGCTACACCCCAGCTTCAGAGCTACAACCCCAGCCCAAGCATGCATATTTTACATAATTATTTTTGTACAAAGCTGGGACCCCATAGATTGTTGGAAATATTTTTAAGAGATCCAAAAGATAAACTTCTGTCATGTTGCCCGTTGCAGTATTGGCCCTCATCAAGTATTACTTCCCTTTTCATTCCATTGCCTGGATCTGTGTTTTTACTTATGACTGTCTCTCTGTGTTTATGTAACAGATCTGTGGATCTCTTTTTTTTTTTTTTTCACTTTTTTTTTTTTCATTTTTATCGGTACCAGGGATTGAACTCACGACTGCCTGCTTGCAAGGCAGGCGCTTATGCCGCTGAGCTAAATCCCCAGCCCTCTGATCTGTGGATCTCTCTCTCTCTCTCTCTCTCTCTCTCTCTCTCTCTCTCTCTCTCTCTCTCTCTCGTTTATAGCTTGCTGAGAATCTATATCTTATTGTTGTACCTGTAATATCCATGTGTCTGAGAATGTGTGCATTTGAGTTTGTGTTTCAGTGTTTATTTATGTGTTTAGATATTATTGTGTCTTAACAGACCGGAGTGTTTATGAGTATCTAAATGTGTCTGGGTTTATGTCTTACTGTCTCCATGTATCTTATGTGTCAGTGTCAATCAGTGTGTATATATGAGTATGTCAATCTGCATTTGTGTCCCAAGGCGTTTTTGGGTTTTTGTTGTTGTTACTGTCATTGTTTTGAGACAGGGTCTCCCTCTGTAATTTAGGCTGGTCTTGAATTTGCTATGTAGCCCAGGCTAGCCTCAAACTCAAGGTGACCCTCCTGCCTCAGCTCCCTGAATGCTGGGACTATAGGTATGCACCATCATACCTCGCACATCCCAAGGTATCTGTATACGTCCCTGTGTAAGAGGGAGAATGAGGTGAGGGGCCCCTAAGAATCCACATTCAACTCTTTTCCTCTGACCACGGGCAGGGAATCTCTGGGCCTGCTTTTTGATCGGTTCCTCCAGCTTCCAGAAAGCACTGAGTGTGGGTGTTTCCCTCCTAGCCCTGCCCTTGGGCACAAGGCCAGCCCTGCTGCACAGGAGTGGTGGAGTGGGTGTTTGCAAACACCTACGGTCCCTCCCAGCAGCCCCTGACATGAAGCATTTCCAGCTGGCAGGACAGCTCATCTTCCTGTTTCGAAAAAGAGCCGAACCCTCTCTTCTTTGGAGAGCAGTAGTCCTTCTGCATCTCAGGGTCAGGAAATCCCTGCTTTCTAAGCCTAGGTCAGTGTCCATCTGGCTGAGCTTTTGTGCTTGTCAGATCCAGTCAGACAGTTGAAGAAACAAAGCCTATCTCCATGGCAACCCACCTCTGCCTCGCACTTGGGCAGCTCAGTGGTTTTGTAGGGCCCTCTTTGGGCCCAGTGCTGGGATGGGATGAGTGGTTAAGGATGAGTTAATGTGGCTGATGCAAATGAACACCACCCCTCCCCCTGCTCACTTTCAGGCGGTTCCTGTTATTTGGTAAAATCACAGGTTCAGATTCAGATGGAGGACACTGGAGCCCAGACAAGTTTCTCGCCAAGGACATCTAGCAGGCTAGGGACAAGGGGCCAGGGATACAGTTCAGAGGCACAGAACCTACCTGGCAATTGTGAGGTCCTGAGTTTAGACTCCCAGTTCCAAAAAAAAAAAAAAAAAAAAAAAAAAAAGACTGACACAAGAACCCAGTTAGCTACAGGGTTCTGTGTGCATGCTGAGGATTAAACACAGGGCCTTTGAACTGAACTAGATGCCTCATTTTTTATTTTTAATACTTTTTTTTTTTTTTTTTTTTTTGGTACCGGAAATCAAACTCCCAACTGTGTGCTTGCATGGCAGGTGCTTATGCCACTGAGCTAAATCCCCAGCCCATGTTTTTGTTTTTTAAGACAGGGTCTAAGTCACTAAGTTGCCTGGGCTGGACTCAAACTTGAGAGCCTTCTGCTTTAGCCTTTGCAGGGCTCCTTTTGTGGCTCCTCATACAATTTGGTTCCATGCTTTGTTTTGTTTTGCTTTTCTAGACCTGGAGATTGAACCCAGAGCCTTGATACTGAGTACATCCCAATCCCTTGACAACTTTATTCTTGTTTTGTTTCTGTACAGACCTCAAGATAAAACTTCCAACATTTCTATTAAGTTGTGAAAGCTCTTAACCGTTTGCCTCTGCTTGTCTGTGAGACTCAGTATTTGTTAACTACCGACTAACCAAAACAAACCACTGTAGAAATGAATTGAATTCTGGCACTCAGTTAAATCCATAACCGCCCCCTCCCCACCCCACCCTGCAACTCAGGGTTTCAAGTTTTCAGTCCATCTGAATGTCATCACTGATCCCAACTCTGATTTACTTCATGGTAAGTAAAGATTGTCAAGTTTTGATTTATATATTAAACTTATCTTTATAAAATATTGCTTTTATGCATGTCATCTGCAGGGTTTGTATTTTGTTTGAGGAAGGAAAAAAGAAGTTCCACTGCTAAAAGAAATTTTTTTTTGTCATTTTGAGACAGGGTCTCGCTATGCACTTCAGGCTGGCTTTGAGCTCAATTTGTAGCCCAGGCTGGTCTCGAACTTGCAAGGATACTCCCACCTCAGCCTCCTGAGTGCTGGTAAAAGAAATTTTTAAAAAACATGGAGCACTTCATAGATTTGGGTGTCATCGTTGCGCAGGGAATATGCTAATCTTCTCTATACTGTTCCAATTTTAGTATATGTTCTACTGAAGTGAGCAGAGATTTTTTTTTTTTTTTAATTTTTTGTTTTTGAGACAGTGTCACACTAAGTTGCTCAGGCTGATCTCAAACTCATGGGCTTTAGTGATCCCCTCTCAGGCCTCTCAAGTAGGTGGGCCTACAAGCTAACATGAGGGAAACCACTGAGTTCAGCGAACAGAATAACAGTTGGATCACTGATTATCTGATCAGTCTTTTTGTAAACCTGGAACACAGAGCTGGTGCTCGGGAGAAGCCCTTGTAGGAATGAAAGGAAACAACCTGGTCCCAGGCAGCAACAGTAGCCTCTACTGCTTCCTGTGTCTTCTCCCTTGTCTTCTCCTCTCCTCTCCCTTAGCTTCCCAGAAGCTGGCACTTGGAGCTGGGAGCCCATAAGCTTTCATCTTCATTTGGCCACATGTCACTAATATGCCAGCAAATTATTTCACCTCTCATCCATGTAGGGGCGGGGGAAATGGAGAGGACCTACGCTTGGAGTCTGATTCTAAGAGCTACTAGGAGGATCCGAGAAGACCTCAGCAGGGAGATTGTCTGAAATGTTAACAGGGCAGCCCCAGATGCCAAGAGCCAAGGATTAGGGGACACAGGAACACTGGCCTCCCACCCTTCACCACTATTCCAGCCCCTCCAAATGGTCCAAGAAAGGAAAGAAGCCACAGTACTCCCACCTCCAGGCTCTCTTCCTTTTCCAAACTCCCTGTGAAAGGAGTGGTCTGGCTGCCTGCTCTGAAGTGTAGCATCTGTGTGCGGGAGGAGGCTTGGCCCAGCAGGAGACAGAGCTGGTACCTGGGGGCGGGGGCAGGTCTTCTAAGCAGTTTGGGTTTGTTTGAGGACAACACTGATGTGGTCCTGGGCTTTCCTAAAACAGTGAGGCAAGGTTGGTCGGCCCTTGGGCTGCTCCCCCAAGTCTGGTTATTGCTAGTTCCTCCCTGGGGACACAAGGACAGCAACTTCCTGCTGGGTCAGCTGACAGTCTGGCTCCAGGTTGGACTTTGGGCCCTGCCCATAGGGACTTCTGGGAAATCAGCTCCCTGGCTGCTCTGTACAGCCTGCAAAGGAAGGTAGCAGAGCTGAACAATCATTAATCCAGGGGACAGGATGTGGCTGCAGCTGGGCACAGGCTAGCCCTTCCCAGGACTAGTGTCTCAGAAGCATGTCTGTCCTGAGGTCAGGGGATAAGAAGGAAAACGGGGCTACTGCTTTGAGGTGGTCCAACCTGAGAGGAGGTGAGGATATCTGGGGGTTTGAGGAGTAGTGAAGGAAATACAATCCTGAAACTTTCCTTAGCCCCCTCCTTCTTTCCCTCCAAATCTAGCGTGCTAATCTCTGGCTTGACCTCTGGAGAGTCTTCTTTGAGAGGAGCCTCCCAAGAAACCATGACACTGGCAAAGCCAACTTCATAGGTCTGTGCACTCTGCAGTCATGGGGGGCCCTGAACTCAGAAAGGCCCCAGGGGTAGAAAAATCCACCAGGAATAGTCTAGCAGCCCAGCATCCGCCTGGCAAGCATGAAGTCCCAGTTCGATTACTGGTACAAAAGAAAAGAAAAGAAAAGAAAAGAAAAGAAAAGAAAAGAAAAGAAAAGAAAAGAAAAGAAAGGACCTGGACTTAGTCAGATGCTTTGCTATTGCTCTCCTGAAACTGTTTTTATTTTACTATTTGTTGTTTTGGTACTGGGGATGGAATTCAGGGCTTTTGTGCTTAGCTACACCCCCAGCCCTTTTTCAAATTTTGAGTTAAATTCTAAGTTTTGTACAGTAGTTTGCCTGGGCTGGGTTGAAACTTGTTTTTTGTTTGTTTTTTTGAGACAGGGTCTTATTATTATTATCATGATTAGGTACTGGGGACCAAACTCTACGTTGTGCTTGCCAGGCAGGCACTTATGCCACTGAGCTAAATCCCTGGCCCCAAGATAGAGTTTCATTATATAATTCAGGATGGCCTTGAACTCACTATGTAGTGAAGGATGGCCTGAAATGTATAGTAATCCTCCTGATCACTGGGATTATAGGCATGTACCACCAGGCCCAGCCAGATTCAGATTTGTTATCTTCCTACCTCAACTTTTCCGAGTGTTGAAAATCTCAGTAATTTTTGTTTTTTCTTAGTAAATTTTAAGGATAGAAGTTAGGGCTTTGCTAATTCTTGCAAGCACTCTATTATTTCATACACTCCCAGACCCAAATTCATATTAAGTTTTTGAACAAAGGGTCTTGCAAATTTAGTTGATAGTCCTGTGCACTGGAAAAAATAGCTGAAAGAGTTGATGCAGAGGGGCTGGGGATTTAGCTCAGCAGCATAAGCGCCTGCCTTGCAAGCAGGCAGTCGTGAGTTCGATCCCTGGTACCGATAAAAACGAAAAAGACAAAAAAAAAAAAAAAAAAAGAGTTGATGCAGGGCAAGATTAACTGGCATTCTTCTGCCCATCTCTTCCAAAATGGAGTCTTTGCATTCCTCCCTTGTCCCTCACCGTGCATTTACTCTGTCACATGGCTGAGGCCCTGCACATCACACTCTCTGCAATGCTCAGCCTGTAACACTTTTCCTTTGACCCTAACCAGCAAAGGACTAGAATGGGTGCTCTGGGATTGCATGTTTGATCTCAGTAAAAGGTGTTACCAAGAAACACTGCTGGCAGAGGATAGTGAGTTTCCCCAGGACCCCAGGAACAGCTGGAACCTCCAGGGTCAGTGATGACCCAGGTTCATGCCAGCTGAGCCCCTGGGGACATTTAGGGTCAGGCAGTTTAGGGAGATCTTGCTCTGCACTTTAATTACCCTACAAAGTTATAGTAAGTGCTATCTACATTGGACCAGGGTTGACAGGGCTGGGTACCCTAGACAAAAGAGCCTCTGCCCTCTTGGAGACCAAGACTGGACCTGACCTTTCTAGGAACCTAGGGGAAAAGTACAAAGTTGCCGAATCCACAATGGGCCCCTCAGGCAATTTTTAGCCCCCTGGCAGTGACAACTTCCAGATGCTAGCCTTGGCTCCTCTGTTGCTGACCCGCTCTGTGTTCTGAAGCAATCACCTTCTCTTTCTGGTCTCAATCTCCCTTCTGTACTGAAGGGTAACATTCCATGTCCTACTCTCCTCATAGCTTGCTGTGGAATCAGAGGACATAAAAGGGTTCGGCTAGCTATAACAGAGCTAGAGGACTGGAGGAAATGAGCACAGCATTTCCATGACTCTTTAAAGCTTTCTTTTCTACCAGCTTCCTCAGTCACATTTCTCATCTGCTCCAAAACCCACCCTAATGCATCAAGTTAGACAATCTCAGTGGGAAATCTGACCCATGCACAGAACCCTGGAGAGTCAAAGTTTAGGCTAAGGGTAAACTGAGGAAAGACTGTCCCTGCTCCCAGGCACCAAGGGTGAAGCTGCAAAGCAGGAAGCCTGGGATTGTTGGAGCCTGGGGGTAGGTGTGGTGAGGAGCAAAGGAACATTGGGCAGGGGCAGACGGCAGGGGAATGTCCACTGCCAGTTGCAGGTCTTAAGTCTTCCCTCTCCCCTAATATTGCCCGGATCCTAGAACGAATTCTTCGAAATCTCATATCTCAGGAAAATAATCCAAGAACCCCTCAACTCTATCCCCAGTATTTCGCCTCTCCTTCCACACCCGCCACCCTCCACTGTCTTCTGCAGCGCAGCGCCTTTGAGCTCCCTCTGGACGGACCCTAGGCACGGTGCCCTCCAGGTCGCCCCCACCTCCCCGGCCTGCACGGAACCTCGGGACCTGACCTCGCCCTCTCGGGCCCCAGCGGCAGCGGCTGCGGCGGCGGCGGCGGCGGGGAGGGGCAGGAGGCAGCGCCGCTCCCGCCCCGCGGCCGCTCCCTGCTCCGCTCCGTCTCCCCCGCCGCCCGCGCCCCGCCCGCCGGCCCCTCCCGCCGCCCGCCGGGCTCGCTCGCTCGCCTCCGCCGCCCAAACTTTTCTCCGGGCGCGTCTCGCCGGCGGCAGCCCCGCGCATGGACGCCGCTTCGCAGGGGGCCTGACCCCCGCCAGGTCCGCGCCGCGCCATGGCAGCCCGTGCGCCCCCCGCCGCACCTGCGGCCGACGAGTCGGGGGGCGCCGGCAGCCCCCCGCGCAGGAAAAAGTCCCGCTCGGGCGCGTCGGGCCTCCGCCGCGCCTTCAGCTGGCTGCGGGGCAAGCGGCGCAAGAAGAAGGCGGCGGGGACCGAGGGCGCCGAGTCGGCTGCCCCCCGCGCGAAGAAGGCGGACGACAGGACCAAGAAGGCCAAGGGCAAGGGCCGAGGTGAGGCTGCCGGACACCTGGGCTGGGCTGGGCTGGGCTGAGCGTTGGGTGCGCCGAGGGGGCGCGGGGCGGCTCCGCCGGGGGTCACGGTGTGTGGGAGGGGCTGGCTCCAAAGCTGTGGTGCTGCGACAGCGAAGAGCCCTAGGCTCAGCCCAAGCACCCCTATCCTGCGCCCTACCGCAGACTCAGCGCGCCACACTCAGAGGAGGAGACCCCCTAACCGGCCGCGGCAGGGATCCCCGGGTTTCGGCAGGAAGTGTTGGCAGCCAGGCATTCCCCCTCCCGCAGTCCGGCTCACCCAGGTTCTGTCCTGTGCTGAGTCAGGGGGTCAAGAGCTTGACCCTGGACTGGAGCCAGTGGGAGAGGCAGGTGGCCTTGGGCCTCTGGTGAGGGTCTTTCTGGGTCCAGAAAGCCAATTGCACTCAAAAGGAATTTCCTGCCCACCAGATAGGCAGGTAGTTCTAAGTTGCCCACCCTATAAAGGACCCATCTTGAGTTTAGCGTACCTTAGGTTGACTGTTAGCTTTTCCCACCTGATCACAGCCCCCCCCCCCCCCAGCTCACCTGGGCCAAACCACAAACATTCACCTCCTGAGGTGGTGAGCTCACCATCCTCAACGGAGAACCAGCAGCCCTTCCCCATCTCTCCTGTCTCCAGCCCTGATAGGTACATGCTTGGGTTGTAGGTGTGCTTACACATAGGGGGAAACTGAAGCCCAAACTCATCTGGGAGGCTGTACCTGGGCTCGGGTGGGTACTTAAAATACACACTTCTTTCCTAATCTTTCTGAGTTTGAGTCCCTGATCACCTCCTCTGGCCTGAAGGGTGGGGATCCTGAGAAGAGGGAGGTTGACCTGGCTCATCCGTACCAGGGTCACTTTACTTGCAGCCACTTGCTTGGTGTTTGGCTCTTTCCCTTTTTTTTTTTTTTTTTGTCTCCTGTTGGGTGGGGAGCGTTTTAGTTTCTGCAAGAGGGTGGGGCTTGTAGCTTCCAAAGAAAGTCTACTTTTCCTTTGCTCCTGCTGCAGTGAGGGAGGTGCAGAAATGGTGGGGTGTGTGGGCCCATGCCATGCCTCCTGCGATTACCCTTCTGGTGTCCTTTAACCACTTTCTCTGGAGGAAAAGTAGAAGGAACACTTTATTTAGGGGTGTTCAGGAAGAGGGTGGAAAGCCTGTTGTGTGATTGCATCCGGCATATCTTTCTTTTGGATGAGGGCCCTGCTACCCTGCAGGCCCAGCCACAAAGAGAAGCTGGAGCTGGGGTGGTTGGGCCAAGCCCGGAGGGGAGGTTTGGGTGAGGAGTGTTTTCAAAGGTTCTGCAGCCCTCACATGGGGAGGGAGGGGAGAGCCCTGAGTTCCAGAGCGGCTCCACTGGGGTTGGGTGTGAAGTTACCCTCATCTCACTCAGGAGGGCATGGGTCAGAACTGCAGTAGGACAGACTGCCGTCAGACTATCAGGATTAGCTGGCAGAAGGTTAGTGGGCTGGTGGTGTACTAAGGGCAGTGAACCCTTCTTCCCAGGGATCCTACCTGGAAGTAGGAGGCTGAAAATATTATAAGCCTACAGGTCTCTCCTCCAGCAGACTGGACTTGGGGTCATTGGTCCATGGCCAAGTCTCCTTTGCTTTGTGTTTGGTATTGGGTGGCACTGGGCTTTCTGGGCAGCAGTTCAGCCTGATTGAGCCCACGTGCATGGGCAGCACCCCTGATCCTAGCTATTGTTTTCCCAGGTCTGGAGATAGACCCAGGTATAGCGGAGGGAAGTCCTGTTCTTTTTTGCTCCAGCCTCCTATTATCATAATTGTTTCCTTGTCACCTGCCTGGACCAGCTTTTCTGTTTATTAAGAGAAACAAAAATCTGATCTCACTAATCTCCGCTGGGATTGCTGGCCAGGAAGGGGGAGCCCAAGGAATGATTAACCCTTTCAGGGAGAATGTTCAGAATGGAGATTGGGGAGATGGAGAAGGCATACATAGAGAATTCCCAGGAGGTCACGGGCCTTTACTTGGAAAATCATTATCTCTTTCATTCCAGTCTTTGAACCAAAGACCTAAGAGATGCAGGTCTTATCCCCTCTCATCTGTTTCTCCTACTAGGAGATAAGAACTCAACTTGTAATGGAATTTTGACTTTCATCTTTTGGGATTCTCCTGATTTTCTCATTGCCCTGCACAGATTTAGCAGAAGAGAGGACATCTGACATTTATTATTCTGATTCTCAATGTGTCAGAGCCCCTGTGTTCATTCTCTTATGAGATCCCATTTGTAAATGAAAAAAACTGAGGCTCAGACACAGTACATGTTTGATTTGATCAAACTGAGATCTATATTCAAGTTGCTTGACCCCAAGACTGGTACAGTACTCATTTTTATGACTCTGAAGGATACAGAGTGGGGGTGAGCCTTAAAGATCGTCTGACCCAACTCATTCTGCAGATGGGAAATGGCCCAAAAGAGAAGTGAAGGAACTTGATAGAGTTAAGAAAGGTATCAGCTGGGTAAATGAAAGTTTATATTTTGGATCAGTTTCCATAAAGCCCCATGACACTGGATAAGCTCACAGATTCCATGACTGTCTCACAAGGAAGGAGAGGACTTTCCCTTTTTTTTTTTTTTTTTTGGTCTTTTTCGGTACTCACGACTGCCTGCTTGCAAGGCAGGCGCTTATGCTGCTGAGCTAAATCCCCAGCCCCTGGAGAGGACTTTCTTACAGAGGTGACTGAGCCTCTGAACATGGGTCTATGACCTTTCTCTTTCCAAGATTCTCAAATAATGAACATTATTTGGAGGAGAAGTCACTCTAGAAACACAAAGTGTTGCTACTGTGTTTATATTTAGTCGCCCTTCCAAACCTCACTTCCCTTATCTGAAAAACAGGGGTTTTGCAGGAGTGTTCCGAGAATCCAGTTAGGTAGCAGCCATGAAAGTGCTCTGTGAGCTGTGCAGTATTGTTCAATATCAGTAGGTTGCTGCTGTTGTGAAGCCGAGGACTTGGGCATTAGCTACGTTCACCCCAATCCATGTTTAGAAAACAGCTTCTTTGGTTACACCTCTTTGACCCGTATTGATGGTTATTACTGAGGGGGATTCACCAAAGGTGGAGTCTCATTTTTGTCTGAGGACTCAGATTTAAAAAAAAGTTAAACAAAACCCTGCCCCACCAATCTATATTTTCCAGAAATATCACCTGGACTCTAGACAAGTGTGTGCAGAGGAAGTGTTTCTGGGATTAATGCCAGGGCTGAGGCCCAGCAAGTAATCAGGGAGGCTTTCTGGAGGCAGTGAGCTGGGTGTGGAAGGGGAGGAGAAGTCATGTTTGTCAGCCTGGTAGGTTGCCTTGTGTTGTCCTCATAACAGCCTGGGAAGTGAGCAGTTATCGCCATGCACAGCAACTTGCTCAAGGCACCAGGCTTCATGCTTTATGCTTCTGTGCAGTGTCAGTGCCAGGCCTTGTTCAAGGTGATTAAAAATACCTGAGGACAGGACAGGTGAAGTCCCTGCCCTGTGGTAGTGATGTTACAGCATGGCGATGACAGAGCCACTTAGTGTGTCCTCAAAGGCTACGGTGCCCAAACAAAATAACAGGCTGTCGCTGCCTTTCTGACTGTGGAGGCACTAAGCACTGTAGAGACTTGGACAGGACCACCTTTGGGGAAAGGGACTGTACCTCATCTAGGTTTCTGTTGGGCATTAGTAGAAGGGGAGAAGTAGAGATGATTCTGGTTTTGAGAATTCAAGAGCCACCCTGCCAGGCCCAGCAGACATCAGTCTGTGAACTCATACTGGATTCCATGTTCCCTCTGGCCAACTACCAAAGGAGGATGGTCCTTGGCATGGGCTTGTGAAAAGACCTGAGTTTGAGATCTGCTCTGCTGTATGGCATCAAGCAGGCCTGCTGCACTCTGGGCCAACCATGCTGTGTTTCTTGAAGATGGAGTTTAACGCTGGGCTGGTGGTTCTCAGAGCCTGTGTGTTTCAGAGTGATTTGGTGGCACAAGCTTAGGGCTGAGGGATGAGTGTGGGGGTGGAGCTGTGTGCAGGAAGGGAAAGCCTCCCTTTGGACAGCCAGATAAGAGATGGAGACCCAGTGGCCTGGACATCATAGGAGGTTGCGTACTCCGTGTATTTTTACATTCCTTGTCATTGCATGGGCTGCTCACCTGCCTACCATGTGCCTCCTTTCACTTTTCAATCAGTGAATTCCTAGCCAGGCATGGTGGAGCATGTCTGTAATCTCAGCACTTGGCAGGCTGAGGCAGGAGGATTGCCGTGAAGTTTGAGGCCAGCCTGGGCTGCCTAGTGAGTTCAAGGCCAGTCTGAACTACATAGCAAGACCCTGTCTCAAAACCAAAAAACAACAGTCAATTCAGTGAACTCTTATTCATCTCTCAAGGTCCAGTTCTAGTATCCTCATCTCTATGACACTCTCAGGGGAAACTGCTGCACCCAGATTCTACAGCAGAGCGTTTCAGAAATTTGGAGTTGGGTAGAATCTGATTTTATGGCTACCTTCTTTTGGGCAGAGGCATGTTGTAGCCTGGGGCCTGGACCAGTGTACATAATAGCATCATGGTTCCCTTGGCTATGTGATACATTGATAGAGACTAGTCTGGGGATCTCAACAAAAATGTGATAAGGTGACTTCTCTGCCTGCCTCAACCCAGCTGCTATTAAAGGATGGGCACTGCATGCCTTGGGTCCAGAAAGGAGGAGCCTCACTCATTTATTTCACAAACATTAAGTACCCACTATGTCCTGGGGATAAATAAGAGAGTCAAGGTCTCAGTTGTCCTGAACCAATCTCACAATTTGAGCATGTAACCAGATGTTGAACAAGTAAATAGGGGTCAAAAATGACAAGAGGAAGCACAGGGATCTCTGAGGGGGATCAGAGGCAGTGATATTTAAGCTAGAATTCAAGGGTAAGGGAAGCTGAGGTCATGGGAGTTGAAGCACAGGAGGCAGGCAGGGTACTTGCTGGAGACTGGAACCAGCTGGTTCTTTGGGGTTCATGGAGCACAGGGTGGCCATGCTTCAGTATTTGGATACCCTGAGAACAGGAGCAGGGCTGACTAGCCCTCCCCTGTCCTTACCCAACACAGGGCCTGACACTGAATGGCTTTGGCCATAAGTGATCTAATCAGGGTCTCCTGAGCACAGCTATCTCTGGATCTTAGGTGCTCATTGTTGATGACCTGAAATGTCACAAGGAGCCCTCATCATACATAGAGATGGGCAACTGAGCCCCGAGGAAGGAGTGACTCATTAAAGGCCGTACAGTGGCCAGCAGGCAGAAAGGGAGTCCACACCTGCCGGTCTGATTTCAGCTTCTTTACTGTTTTGTTCAAACTTCAAACAGGAGAAGCTCTTCCCAGCGAGGAGCCTCTATCAGGGGTGGGAAGAGCTGAGAAGAAAGGGATGCCAAGGGAGCCTTCTTTCTTCCCCGCTCCTGTCCCTCCCTTACCTCAGACACCTTTGGGGCCTCCTAGCTCTTGTCCTTCTCCTGGAAATCCCCTACAGGCCAGGAGGGGCCCTCAATGCATGTGTTGTCCTTCACTGCTAACGTAGGGTGACTGAACCCTGTGGCCAGAAAAGCTGTTCTCCCTCAGCAGAGCCTCCCTCAGCACCTCCTCCCTTGGAAATCCCCACTCCCCAAACCCTCAAAGCCCTCTCAGCTGCTCCTGGCTTGTCACATGCTGAAGAAAATGAATAGAGGACGTATTGTACATTGTTTGGGCCAAAGTAAGCACGATGGGGTAGGGAAAGCGGGTACACACACCTTCCATGTACAGACCCCCAAGGCCACCTCCAGCTCCGTTACTGAGTTGGGGAAGGAAGGAGGTGCAAGCAGCTTCCTTGGATAGGAATGAAATCTTTCACTTCCCCCAGCATCTCCCACTCTGTACCCTTATGCTCCAGTCCTGGGGCCGATTCATCAGAGGACTGTCAGTTCCACTCACAAGGTGCCCAGCTCTGTGTGTGATGTGGAATTGTTATAGCTTAGCCTGCCCAGACTTTAAACCTGTACCATGGAACTGGACGTGGTGGTGCAGGCTTGTGATCCTAGCACTCTGGGAGGCTGAAGCGGGCACGACTGCCAGTTCCAACCAAGTTTAGGTAATCTAGCATCTTAGCAAGACTCCATCTCAAATAAAAAATAAAAAAGGGCTAGGGGCTGTAGCTCAGTGTGAAGGCCTTGGGTTAACACACTCAGTACTGTAAATCAAAACAAACCAAAACCAAACCAAACCAAACCCAACCCAACCAAACCAAACCAAAATACATATGACAAAGTGCATGATATCCACGAGGTTCATGGGGTTTCAGGGCAAGATGACCATGGAGGGCCTCCTGTCTGTGTAGGATGTCCTCTTGCAAATTTCTGCACCTGTTCTTTAAGGGGTTACAAAGCACCAAAACCAGGCTGGGGATATAGCTCAGTGGCACAGTGCTTGCCTGCAAGTACAAGGCATTGAGTGGGATTCCTGGTACCTAAAAAGAAGGAAAATCAAAATCAAACAAACAAACAATAAAAAATCCCACAATAAAGCATCAAAGTCTCATCTGGAGTTCTGGTCCCCATTCCTTCCCTACGAGTTACTTCTTCCCCCCAGCTCTACCCTCCTTCTCAAGTTCTGGGCTTTGGAGAGCACTTCTCACGCAAGTACTACCTTTGTAAAGAAAGTATTTATGTGCTATTATCACTGCCTCCTCCCGCCACCACCACCAGTAACAAGTGTCACTATAGCTTCTACACAGAATATGCAAAACCCACGGTCTCCACTTTTACAAGTTGCTAGGCAACATGCAGGGGACACCTACTGTGTGTTGAGCTTGGGAACTGCCAAGGAGTGAGACAGTCTGTACTCTGAAGAAACACTTTTCTGATTGGAAAGGTAGATGCCAACATAAACTGATACTTTGAGAAAAGCCCTGAGATGGTGTCACACAGGTGCTAGGGAGCTCTGGGGTGTGGTTAGAGGGTAGCATTAGTAGGTTTGGGAGCACAGAGAACAGAGTCAGGGCTGGGAGGTGGATGGAAGAGCAGGGTACTGAGCAGAGCCATGAGGACGAAGAAGTATTTTCCAGGCAATGGTGGAAGAAAAGAGAGCAGGTGTGAAGGGTTGGAGGTGTGCACTAAGGGAACGTTGAGCAGCTTTCTGTGGCTAGAGCTCTAAAGTGGGGAAGGAAGGTATAATCAGAGATGAGCCTGACCTGGTGGGCAAGGACAAATCCTGCAAAGGCCAAGAGAGCTGTTACATCTTCAAGACACTTTGCTTACCTGTTCCCACTCAACTCATACCAAGGGATTCATTCTTTTCCTCTGGATGTTTCCTCTGGTTCTCCACCTACCTGCCTCCTTTATAGGCATCAGTTTCTGGGGCTTATCTGTAAATGACGGGAATTAACACCTTCAGGATAGAGATGTAATTCATGTTTTACTGCTGAGTGGTTTAAGTCACTTGGTAGTACATGCAGTTTAGGCTGGCCTTGAACTCTCTTTGTAGCCCAGGCTGGCCTCAAATTTATAGCAATTCTCTTGCCTCAGCATTCCAAGTACTGGGATTACAGGCATGTGCCACCACGCCTGCCATGATTGTCTCATAGGGTGGCTTTTTATTATTAGAAAAAGACTGATAAAGTGATTAGATCCATTTGTACCACCAGTGGTACAAGCTTCTCAATGTGACAGTCATACATATACCACTGGTGGTTCAAGCCAGTATGAACGTGTTATACTAGCAGATCTGTAAGGTCTCTCCCATCTTCGCCACTAAGACTTCTTTTCGCAAAGCAGAGACTGAGCCAGGAAGCTTGATACACAGTGTGGGGGTATTTTCTGGGCATGAATAAATGCTAGCTCTTCTGGGATTTCAGTGTTGTCACCCTTAGACTCTTAGCAAGGGATGGGACTCAAGGAGAGTGGCGGTCAGCTTTGACACTTCCATTTGCAGGCAGGGAACAGGGCATCTTGGAATCACTGGACATAAAGAGGCAACATGGTGTAGTGAAGGGATTTGTTAAGCTGGCAAAAAGGATAAACATATGGAGAGTAGAACTGACAGTTCTGGACTCTTAGCCCAGTACTGAGTCTCTGCTATACCATGCTGCCCCTAGTTGTAGAGACTAGACAGACTGATGGTAAAGTTGCTGCCTAGGCTGTGGGGCCCTGGACAGGTCCCTGGGCACAAAAGTATCTGTGAGGACCCAGAGATGGAAGCTGGGGGCAGCCTGGAAGACTTTTAGGGGCAGTAAGTTTTGGTTCGGGTTTCGATAAAATAGGGACTTATGTAAGGCAAATGAAGTAGGGGCATGCAGCTCACAAATGCATGAAGACTTGGGGTGGTTTCACACATATTTGCCTACAAGCTCCATTATTTACACATACAGACATATATACATAGCACAAACCAACTGTAGAGACAGACATACTCCACAACCACAACCCAACAACCACAACCACATACTAATACATAAAAGCATACTTTTTTGTTTCATTGCTGGGATCAAACTCAGAGTCTCGGACATGGTAGACAAGATATACCTTACTACTAAGCCATACCCTATCCTTAATTACATATGATTTTTTTGGGCTACTGGGGGTTGAACCCAGGGACTTCACACTGAGCTACATCCCTAGGGTATAGCCCATATTTTTGAGACAAGGTCTCTCTCTTTTTTTGCCTTTTTTTTTTCTTTGTCTTTTTCGTTTTTACCAGTACCAGGGATCGAACTCACGACTGCCTGCTTGCAAGACAGGCGCTTATGCCGCTGAGCTAAATCCCCAGCCCCAGCAAGGCAGGTACTTATGCCGCTGAGCTAAATCATCAGCCCCGAGACAAGGTCTCATAAAGTTGATAGATTGCCCAGGCTGGGCTAGAACTTGCAACCCTCCTGTCTCAGCCTTCTGTTGGGATTATAGGAATGAGCCACCAATGCCTGGCTTAATTCCATAATTGTTTTATTTTATTTTATTTGAGACAGGGTCTCAAATAAACCTGCTATGCAGTTCAGGTTGACCTCAAACTCACTAGTAGCCCAGGCTGGCCTTTAATGGCAAACTCCCCTGGCTCAGCCTCTTGAGTGCTAGAATCACAGGCTTGTGCTACTATATCTGGCTTCCATAGTCTTATAGACAAACATATTTACACATACATACACACAGATAGACTGTTACACACTCAAATCCACAAGTCATTGACAGCCTACCATCCTAAGAGAGATAGCAATAATTACATAGACAAAAACATAAAACACATATCTGGGCATGAAAATAGGCTCAGTTACATGGACGTAGTCATATAAACCCATGTATTCAGAGTCACAGATATGTACAGGGCTACACAGCCACCTTTTTTTTTTTTTTTTTTTTGGTGCTGGGAATTGAACTCACGACTTCGCGTTTGCCAAGCAGGCATGTACGCCGCCGCTGAGCTAAACGCCTGGCTACACAGCCACCTTTAAAGACACTATTGTACACATATATCCAACCACTGCCCTCCTTCAAGGTCATCTGAAGACGCAGATACGTGAAGAGTGGTGACAAAGAGCAGTGGGTGCTGAGTCAGTCTGGATTTGAATACTGGCCCTGCAGTATAATGCTTGTAGATTTTGGGTCAGTCGGGTAACTTCAAGGAACCTCAGTTTCCCTGTCAATAAAATGAATATAATGGAAATACCTACTTTACTGAATTGTTTTGTGGATGAAATTAAAGAATGCATCAAAGCAGGTAGCACGGTGCCTGTCACATAATAAGCATTTTTTAAAAAAAAAAATGCAACTATTATTTTGTACAGCACACTACAGAAAGTTCCATACATTTGTACACACAGGCAGAGAGGTAGGAAATACACACAGAGGCACGCGACACTGACAGGGTGGTAGCTGGTGGGCTACAGCAGCAGCAGGGCTCCAGACCCCGCCAGTCTGGAGGCCGACCCCCAGTTCTACTAGCTCCACTGCAGGCCTCAGAGAAGCAGCTTCTCTGCCGGAAGAGCAGGCCATCAGCCTGCTCCACCTGGACCAGCCAGTCTTTCCCAGAGCGCTCAGGGCGGGGCAGCTCAGCAGGTCTCCCAGGTCCCGGGAGGGGCGGAGTCGACGGGAAGCGGGCCAGGCCCCGCCCTTGTCCGACCCCGCCCCCAGCCCAGCCATTGGCCACAGGGCGCGGGGGCGTGGCTGAACCGGGGCTGGGGGCGCCCGCGGTGGCCGACCGCGCGTCTCTTTGCCTCCCTCCCGGGGCTGCGGGCCCGGCGGCCGGGCTGGCAGGGCCGCGCTCGGGGTTCCCGCGCCAGCTCCCGCGCCCGCCATGGGGAACTCACACCACAAGAGGAAGGCCCCCAGTAGTCCCCGGGTCCGCAGCTTCTGGCGATTCGGGCGGTCGGCGAAGCGGCCCGCAGGTAGGGGGTGGGGGCGGGGCAGGCTGGGAGGAGGGTCTCCCTGCTGCAGCGGTCGCCTCCGCTGCTGCCCCCTCCCGGGGCCTGGTGGGCGTGAGTATGGGGGCGGGGAATCCGCGCAGACCCCACCCCTCATATGTACATGAAGACACGTACACACTGATACCCCCGGACGGGGACACATATATTCACATTTCACATGGTCGCGCATACACAGAACACACGCTCAGATGTAGGGATATGCAGAGACAAAAATCACATACACAGTCACCTACACAATCTCAAGTGGGACGCACAGATCCTGAGACACAGGTACATATACCGATGCATACGGTTAACACGGCCACACGAACTACACCCACGCGCAGACAGACACAGACACCTACAGTCAGGTAGGGCTGCCCAGCGTGCTCGGCACAGAAATGGACACGCAGCTTCATAACTGCACAGCCAATCAGTCTCGTTAGGTCCACAGGTAGACCCTAAGGCACTCACACACACACACTTGTTCCTCAAGCCTTAGCCCCCAACATGCTGAAAGTTTGCAGCCGGTGGGGAGACAAAGGTGGAGGGGAAAGGCAGGAAACCCGGGTCTGGAGGCTCAGGACCGCCTCCATCTGGCGCGACTGGGAGTTAGACTGGTTCGCTAGGCTCCTTCCCCACCCTCCCTGCGCCACGGCATCCTCTTCTTGTACCCCCCCCCCTCCCCCGCAGACCCCGAGGTCCCTTCCATGCTGCATCTCCTCCCCTTTCAATGCGGCCATCGAGCTGGAACTCGGCAACCCTTCCCGGCGGGCTGCGGGATCCCTCCGCGGGTCACATTCCTGCTTCCTAGGGTGGGGGGTAAGAACGGGGAAAGCCTCCACCCCCCAGGGCTGAGAGATCGCATTCTTGTTTCCCCTAGCGAATGCGGCAGTTCACGCTGTCCCCGCGAGAGTCCCAAGGGGTGCTGGAGGAGGGGCCGTCCGTCTGGGGTGCCTGATTTTCTCACTATGTAAATACAGGGAAGGGGGAAGGGTGAGGTGGTGGATCCAGAAGTACACCCCAAAGATGCGGGTACCTGGGGGTACCCTAGGGGTACCTGCTGATTTGGGAACATGAGACTGTGAGGACAGGTTGGGTAGAAGGGTCTTTGCTGTGGCGGGCGAATCCATCCGTGTAGCCCAGCATGGCCCACATTCCTAGAGATTCAGCAGCAGTCTGATGAGCTCATCCCTCTATCAGCCCTGTCTACAAGATGGGCTATGGGAAGAGGTTGGCCCCGGAAGGAGGGGGTCTGTGTGTTCAGTGTGGTTCTGCATGAGCACTAGTGACCTTGGGCAGATTCCTTTCACTTTCCTGGACTTTCCTGGCTCCTAAAGGTCTGTGAAATTAGATAAACTTAACGTCGGTGACTTCTTGAGACCCTTGCAGTACTGGCTTAGCCATTTCATAGATCAAGAGACTGAAGAGAGAAGGGCTTGTGTGTCATTTTGTGAGGGGGAAGCATCAGAACTTGAACTCAGGGCCTCATGCCTGCCAGGCAGGTGCTCCAAACCCCTGAGAAACCCCATGAGAAAAGGGCTTTGTGCAAGGTCATTTGGGATATGGAGGTCTGAGCAATAATTATGAAGATCACCAAGAGGAAAAGTGTTAATTAAGTTTAGGTAATCTTTGAGGATTCCTCAGAATGTGGATGGTGTTGAAAGACTCTAGTAGTCTCCTTGCTTGTATCTCTGAAGGTTTGGCTGTGCCCACCTGTCTCCTTCCAGAATCTGTGCTCAGTAGGGCTGAGGCTGGACTTTCTGTAGCTGATGGCCACTATGATCTGATGGCTTCCTGAGATCTAGCTGTCAGCCTGGACTTGTGACCATTATAATGGAGAAGAAAGAAAGAAAGAAAAAAAAAAGAGGTTGTGTTTATAGAAACAAACAAACAAACAAACAAAAAATGGGTGTTCTGGCCCTTGATGAAGAGACCTAGAGCTTCTGACAACCCTTGTGTACATCCAGCCCCTGCTGCAACTCAGGTGTTAGCCAGGCTGTAAGATGTCCCTAAAACACCATAAAGCATTGTTGGGGCATCCCACAAGTGAAGTGGTTGGGGAAATGTCCAGGCTGTATAGCTAAAGCTTCTGGGATGGGGTCAGCTTTTGAAAATTGAGGTAAAGTTAATTTGGCCTTTGAGGAAACTACAAGATTGAAATTAGTCCTCAATTCTTGTTTAAGTGAGATAACACAGCTAGGGATTTGTTGCAACTGTGGGGTATGTTCTCAAGCAAAAGTAGGCAGTTGGGGCTGTGAATAGAGTAATCGAGGTTCCTTCCTTGTTCTTGGGAAGAGAAGAGATTCTGTTGTTAATGTAAATGACAGTGACTTTGTTTTTACTTATCTTGAGAATTCTAAGACCTCAGTTTTTGCTATGGGTTCAGGTGTGAGAATGGAGCTTAAATACTTACTCATTTGATTGGTTTGTTAAGAAGAGAGACAGGCAAGGGAACCAGAGAGGGGTGAAATCTACAGGCCATAGGGAGCCAGTGAAGGTATTTGAGCAAAAGAGGAGCCCACAACTGTGATGTATTAGGGAGATGGCTCCAGGGCCAGGGCAGGTGTAGGCAGGACAGGTTGGAGGTGGGGTGGTGAGAGTGGAAGCTCAGAGACTATTGCAGTAATCCAGGGGAGAGGTGATAAGGTGAGGGGGGTGGAAAGGAGTGGTAGCTATAGAGACACTTGGGAGGAGGCAGCAGCACTGACAGAACCTGGGGTTAATCAGCTGTTGGTAATAAGGGCCAGAACGCTGTGAAGGTGTGGTACTCCTCTGCTTGGCTGGAGGTGGGGTGAGGGAGGATGGTAGCAGAGATGTTAATGCAGAGATAAAGATAAAGCCCTATGCTAACTCTTGTCTTTTGATCGTCCAGCAAGCAAAAAACTGTTCTCATATCAAAAATGAGAAAGCTGATACTCAAGAGAAATGAAGTTACTTGTACAAGGCCACATAGCAAGGCTGAATAAAATCAAACTTTGGGGGCTGGGGATTTTCAGCGGCATAAATGCCTGCCATGCAAGCAGGCGGTCGTGAGTTCGATCCCTGGTACCGATAAAAAGGAAAAAGACAAAAAAAAAAAAAAAAAAAAAAAATCAAACTTTGCCAGTGTGGTGGTGCATGCCTATAATCTCAATACTCAGGAGGCTGAGGCAGAGAATTGCTATTGAGTCTGAGGCAAACCTAGGCTACATAGCAAGTGCAAGACCAGTCTGAATTACAATGAGACTATTTCTTTTTTTTTTTTTTTTAACTGGTACCAGAGATTGAACTCACGACCACGCGCTTGCAAGGCACGCGCTTATGCCGCTGAGCTAATTCCCCAGCCTCGAGACTATTTCAAAAAAGCAAACAAAACAAAATGACTAAGCCTTCCTGGGTGCTGGGGAAAGGAGCTTGAGGTGAGAGTTCAAGACCAGCCTGGGCAATTTAGTGAGACTGTCTCAAAATCTTTAAAAAAGAAAAAAAAAGGGCTGGAGGTATAATTTGATGTAGAGTGCTCCGGAGTTCAGTTGCCAATATTTTTATTGCAAAGAAACAAAAACAACAGAAAAACAAGCCACAAAAAACAAACATACCCCTCTCCCAAGGAACACAAACAACCAGCCCTGTCTGCTGATGGATGCCTATAATCCCAGCAGTCTGGGAGGCTGAGGTAGGAGGATCACAAATTGAGCCCAGCCTGGGCAGTTTAGAGACTTATGGAGACCCTGCCTAAAAATAGAAAAGGGTGGAAGGGAGGAGAATGGGAAAAAAAGGAAGCAAAATATATCATGTACAGATACCAGTTTCCTATGATGAATGCTATGTATATCTAAAATATACCAATAAAACACCCCCCTCCACACCCCAAGGTTGGGCATGGAGCCCAACCAAGCCGCTGAGATTACAAAGCCTGTGCCCCTGGCCAGTTCAGGGATTGATGGCTTTCATGTTATGATTGTGTGGCCTCTGGGCAGAGAGAGCCTGAGGCCCAGGGCAGGGGTGTGTGGTAGATTTATTTAGTGGACCTCGTAACGGGCAGTTGAGGACTGAGCACTGAAGCCCCCAAGAGTGCAGAGATTGAGCTGATGGGGAAGGGAAATGTAGATCTAACAGTCTTTTCTTCCCTTGTTCAAATGCCCTTGGAGGCTAGGGAAGGGTCAAAGTGGATGAGGCAAGGCTTCTCCTATGCTGGAAAGATACTAAATTGCTGGGATTGTAGTTGGCTTTGAGTCTCAGGAACCCTAACCCTAACCCTCCCCAGACCAGCTGAGCCTGGGCAGGTTGAGGGGTGGGTGAAGGATGTAAATTGGGAGCCCAGGGAGAATCACCTGCTGCCCACCCCCTCCAGTTCTTATGGTGCGCTGTATCCAAAGGCTTATACATGAAGCCCTCCTTGTTGAATTAGAGTTCCCATCTCACATATGGGAAGACGGAAAGAAATTGGTAAGAGTCAGTCTGTTGGGAATACTTCCCATCCTTCCTCATGCAGATAGAAAGGGTCTAGGATCTTTGTTAGGTTCCACAGTTTAGAGAAGGCCCTCTTCTCCTCCCACCCAACAGCCTCCTCCCTTCCTTTGGGGGAAGACCTGTGACCAACTGTGTGATATCCAGTCTTGCTTGTGGGAGCCCTGAGCTTCCAGATAAAGGCCTTGCCAGTACATCTTTGATCTGAGGGATCTGCGATAAGCTGAACCCCTTTGCTGGCAGGGCCTGGACTGCAAGTGGGAACCTCTGTACGCTTTTGAAGTGCCAGAGTTATGCATGCAGAGAGTGTAGAACATCATCTCTCCAATTCTCCCAGATTACGTGAAGAAACAGAAAAGGCCAGTGCCTGGCTGAGGGTCAGGCTGCAGTTAAAAGGCAGCAGAACTTAAACCTAGGATTTCTGACTCTCAGGGTAGTGAGAAAGTTACTGCCAAGGCAATGCAAACGCATGCGCACAAGTGGTCCCTCCTGGCTTCCTCCCTATCCTCAGGCTCAGGGCCTGCAGTTCCCTTCCCTCCCAACCAAGATTGGGGCTGCCAGATAGGGCAGGTCACTGAGGAGAGATAGGGAGCTGTTGTTAAGTGTCCCTTATCAGGCCTTATCTTTAATGGTCCTCAGCTCCACTTGAGATTGGAGGAGAGCTCCAGAAGTGGGTGGGATGGAGGCAGTG